TAGGTGATTTTTGGAATTTGCTAGATTTTGGTTTTTCCGGAAAATGAAAAACGGCTCAGCACCGGCACATTGTCCGATCGGCTCGAACGTGGTATCGAAATATTGCTAGTGAATTGCTAGATTTTGTAAGTATGTTTAAAATTACAAATTAGTCTAAAATTTTTTGTCCTGGAATCTTCAAATACTGAATATTATGCTACTTTTATTTTAGACTATGTGTGCAATGTGATGATTACAGAGTTAAAGATCAATCTGTATTATTATAGGAGTGCTTTATTTTCCATTTATACTACCTATATGAAAGTTATCGCAATATTCCTKATTTGTAACTCGTGGTCTTTTTTATCATTTAGCATCGTATATTGGTGCAAGTACCTATACTGTTTTTAGATACATTACGCTTATATTGACGGGTTTCTGTTACAATTGTTATTGAAATTCACTATATTTATTTAGTTTGTCAATTATTTTACATAATAAAAGTGGTGTAGTCAAATAATCTGTAAAAAATTACATAAACAAAGTTAATCTAATACGTATGTCATATTATATTACTTAATGAGATATAAAATAATTTCATATCACGTATACGTATAATGTATATAAGTGATAAAATATTTGATACAAACTGGTTAATCAAATTTTAACATTTTAAATTTGAACCAATTTTTTCTGTTAGTTTCTTATACAATAGTGGTCATATAAAATAATATTCAGAGTATAAGGTAATTTTTTCAAAAAAATGGGCATGACTTTTATTATTTATTATAACAGATATTCTTTTTTCACTCACTAAAACTAAAAATAGTAATGTTAATTAAATATTTTTTTACGTTTCTACATAAATTAGGATATGTGCATTAATAACTTGTTGTGGTGAAACGCGTGTGATTTTCTTCTTAAGATCATCGTGAAGTTCCCAGCTGTTTGATCTTCTTATGTAGGCTGTGTAGTGACCCAAAGTTTGGTTGACTTCTAGAATACTATTTCCAATGAATTTGACAATTCCCAGTAAGTCAAACCTAAACATATTATTAACTTTTTTAATTTAATAACAACGTAAAAATATTTATTATATAAAAAAATTACACAAGTATTATATTTTAAGACATAGATATTTTAAATATATACAAGAATAAAATTATTGTTATCTTACTGATTTTTATTTATCATTATTGTTGTTGGAATGGATGATATTTTGCAGTTTGCATCTCCATAATATCCCAAAAGATCAACATCGATAAATATATGATGTTCTACTTCATGAGTTGTTTCCATATAATTAAAACATGAATTACAAAGTTCTTCTTTGATTGATAGGCATTTATGTACTTCTATTTCCAATGTTTCTTTAGCGAATCCTTTTGTACCAAATATTTTCATATTCGGGCTTAACAAATTGAGATACTCATTCTTCTACACTGAACATTTATCACAATTGATAATTTTTTTAYCCGATATCACTTTTAATTGTTTTATTAGATTTTGTATATTACATTGGGCGTTATAACATTGTACACCACTCATTTCAGAATTTGGCCTTTCCAATATTCCACTTACTTTCAAAAGTTCGTATCTCTTATGGTAGTCTTTTGTCGAAGCTCCGTGTTTTGCAACCGACTAACAAAATTGCAAAAATTCGTTTTTCATATTTTCAATATAGTTTTTATATTTTTGAAAATCATAATAGCCAATGCAGATTACTGATAGAATTGTATCAAATGCGCATGTGTTATTGACAATAAAAGTTTTGTTTTTTTTTTTTTAATGGAGTAGATATACTACCATTGATCATGGAAACAATTTTATTTGATCGTAATTTCGATTTATTCAGTATTTTCTTTATTTCTGGACAAGGATCTAAGTATTTTGATGGCCTTTTCTTTGTTAATGTATCATTAATTCCTTTTCCACGCCAATTTTCTTCATGTAAAAGACTTATATTTGATTTTTCCKAATCAGACGACTTTCCGTCGTCACTAGGATTTTCTATAAGACATGCAATATATTTTGATCATTTCTAAAGGATAGTTAAAATAGTATATATTTATGTTTTTACCCAGGTCAAAATGATCGTTTATATGAAGTGAAGACATAATTGAGTTATCTGTATCAGATCCGTCATGATTTTTAAATTTCTCAACAACTGCATTTTGACTTTCTAAAATACGTACAAATTTTTCTTTGAATCAGTATGATTATTTAATTTARTTTAAATAATTAAAAATATTATGTCTTGAATTATTTCTTTTACCTTGATCAAAATTATTTACTTCATCGATTGTAACCATTGATGAGTTKATATAAGGTTTGAAATTTTCTGAAAAAAAATGAATTTGGAGTTGATTCTATTGTTAGATTATTATTATTAAGTGTTGGTACATATAAAATATAATTACCTTTAACTAAATCATGTTTTTTATTTATAATTTTGTCTTGGGCAAGTTTCATGGACCCATTTAAAGAATTTAAGTGAGTAACTACAAATCTATTTAAAAATAAATATATAAATCAGTAAGATGTACAATATTTTATATATTTTTTTTAATTAGTTAGATATTTAATTTTTCAGATAAAATAGAATAATAAAAATGTTTGACCTGTCTACTTTCATTGGCTTGCTTTCATTTTTAAGTATCCTATTCTTAAGATTATTAAAATCACTTTCAATTGGTGCTGATGAAGCTGTAATATTTGGACAATTGAATAAGTCCACCATAACATTACTCCATATAGGATTAAGTGGAACATAATTTGACCAAATTTTTTCCAAAACCAATAAGAAAATATGCATTTATTTTTGTGGTAACACTATACTGTATAACTGATGCAGCACTTAAGTATAAAGAAATGTGATCAATATTGTTCAAAAATGTAATAATACTGCTACTAGTATTTAATTCTATTTCTTCTTCATATACATCTTCTATTTCTAGTGCAGCTGATACATCAGAATAAGACGTAAGATTATTTTCTTTTTCATATGATTCCCCTTCAAGTAAATTAATGACAAATGTCAAACTATGTTTCGCTGCATTTTCTGTTTCACTGTATGCTACTGTGAGTATAGAAGTTAAAATTTTGGAAAATTCATCTAATGTCCGCGATCTCAAAAACAATCCAACTTATGTGTTAATGATTATTAATAAATAACAAATTTTCATATCAAAAATAAAGTATATTACCTGTATACATTACTAAATAAATATTATTAAGTAGGCTGGATCTTCAAAGTTTGCATTCTCTTTAAGAGTTAAACAAACATAACCAATAAAGTCAATATTATGAGTACTGAGTAACTATTAATAATTATAAATTAATTACGTAAAATTAAAAATAATAATTATGAACTAAACATGTCGAACCATAAGATCATATTAATACACCAATTATACACCTAGGAGTTATGTACATAGATAAATAAACACATTATAGTAAAACTAATCACTCATCGTTGCATCGCTCAAAATCTAAAATATACTTATCAGTATTCAGATCCAAGAGTCCTGAACGCCTGAACAATGGACACATGCTGTATAAGTATACATAAGTTGATAATATACTCACCTTCAAATCTTAAAATTTCAAATTACCTAGATATTATCTCGACGTGATCGCCAAACGTAGACTATGTACTACAGGCAAAGCAATTATTTTACCCTTCAGAGATTGTACGTTGACACCCAACAATTGAATAATGAATAATGAATTTACTTAATTATTTCGATAAAATAATACATAATTCAATTTATATTATTATTATTTACATAGATGAAATGTACTTTCGTTGCCATTTCGTCTTTATTGATTACGTATTATATTCAATTAACAATTTAAGAAAATATAATAGTAGATACAAACACGATTTKCCATCCAACTTATACAGCTTAGAATTGACTTATTCGAGCAAATGCGGATAGCACAATGATCTTATAATATTATCGTAGACGTTAAAATAAAATCATTTTAATGCATTTCTATAMATAAAATGTTGCTATTCCCATTGTTATTAATAATTTCAATACTACAATATTATGTTAGTTTAATAATTGTTATGTTTAGATCGCAGACTAGTTTTACAGATATAGGTAGAGGACTGTCGAAAAAMATGKTTGGAGGGTGTGGGAAGAGTGGTGTACAAATGTTGATTGTTAGGTGGTATACATCATCGTGTTATTTCTTAGTGAATAATATCATCACAGACTATAATATCATAAAAAAAATATTCCCGTACTAATATTATTTGAGTACCTAATATAATAATAATTTTTTGTTCATATTTATAATTGTCAAGTTTATTATACTGGCCGTAAGCATGATTATTATATGATGATGCCACAGAATTAAGACGTATACATTGTGTGATCATCAGCATGATGCCCAATAAAGTGTTACAGGTAGATTTTTTATTAACAATAAACCGGGTACCGAGTATGGATCCGGTGCAGATGCATACGTTTCATTTGCATASAGTCTATTTTAAGTTAAACATTTTCTCACTTGCATACAACGTAATTACCCAGAAT